AATGCAGTGTGACAGTGTGGGACTCAGATGATCCCCATTGCCAGACGTGTAGTAACCCCTCTGCACTAGTCCACTAACTTGATGCTCTTTGCTTTGTTTACCCACTGATCTTTCTGCTTCGATACCCGATAATAATAAGGGTTTCCTTACGTGTCTAATAAGAGTTTTCCACTGTTGGGTTAGGGCTGTGGGAATAGATGAATTTAAAGGTTGGTGGCCTGCAACTGGGGGTGCTGAAATGCTTTGGAGCCAAAAGGTGATTCGATACTGTATGTCTCTGAATCTCTGCTTAATTCTCAGAGGTTTTTATTTGGTTTTGTTTGTTTGTTTGATGTTGTAACATCACTTTGATTTGACATTGTAACATCACTTCTCCCTCAAAAATAAAATCTCAAGCTGAGTGTGGTGGCACATGCCTTTAATCCCAGTATTGAGAGGCAAAGGCACAGAGGATGCTTTTTGAATTTGAGGCTATCCTGATCTACATAGTGAGCTCCAGGCCAGCTAAGGCTGCATAATGAGACCCTATCTTTAAAACAAAACAAAAATAAAAACTTGGAACAGCAAATGAAAGCAAACAATCCATAGGAAGCCCACAGCATTCAGCAGCATCACACTACCTTCCCAGAGTGTATATTTCTAGCAGTTTCTCTCACTTGGTCTTTCTGAATAACTAATTTGATCATTCTCTCCCTCCCTCCGTCCCTCCCTCCTTCTCTCTCTCCCCTCCCTCCTTCTCTCTCTCTCTCTCTCTCTCTCTCTCTCTCTCTCTCTCTCTCTCTCTCTCTCTCTCTCTCTTTATATATATATGGATGTGAGAATTTTTAAATAACCATGGCTTGATAGCTTTATTTTAAACATTTCTTCCTTTTATCTCCTTTTTCATTTTAATTTAATTAGTAAGGACAAACCAAAGGACTATGTTTTACTTAGAAATTTCCTCAGTAGATTGTCAGCATTAGGCACATTTTTTTACTTTGGAAGTTACTGTATACAAAATAGATTTGCTGTTACATAATAATTATATATTCATTTCTCCATTTTCTAGTATCATTTCCTAGTTTTCTTACTTAGTTTACTCTTGAAGTTGTTTTAGGCTTTCATTAGTATTACCTTCATAGCTCATGGCCTGGTTCAAAAGTCACCACTTTAACCTTTTATTACAATAGCATCCCACTAATATGTAACAAAACCTACAGCATTTATTTTATAACAAATTACCTCCAAAATTTAGCTGTTTAAAATTATAAAGATATATTCATTCACATTTTATCTGGATCACAAATCTGAAAAAGGCTTAACTGAATGGATTTGGCTCACAGTTCCTTATGAGGCTGCAACTTGAGAGTCAGCTGAGATTTCAGCCTTTTGAGATTTTTGTTAATCTGGAGTATATACTTCCAGGAAGTACACTCTTGATTTTTGAGGGCACTTTATTCATTCCTGAGAGCCTTCCGTGGGGCTGCTTACTCTTCTGAGGAGAAAAATGAAATGGAAGAGGCTAGAGAAGACAGAATGAGGGCTGAGCAAAACAGGTGGCAGAGTATGGATGTAAGTGGTGGGGAGTGCCAATATGAACAGTTTTGTGAGGTGGAGACCTCAGCCATTTATAAACTAAGGTCTAATAACATACTCCACAGTATGCTATCAATCACGTAGGATACATGTAACATGGAGTGGACTACGGGACACTGGAATCCAGACAGTACAGGAGTCATTGACAGCTTTCTTGAACCAGCTAACACATGAAAAATGTTTCAAGTTTTTTGTTTAGTTAGCTTTGAAAAATGAACAGATAAGGCAAAAAAAATTAGTAAGTCCATCTTGGGTAGTAAAGCCTTTTTTATAGGTGGCAACGTTCTTTCTTTTCTAGCCAAATGGCACTTTTTCCTCAGTATGTATGGAGGACTGCTTTCTAGGCCACCACTGCTTACAACATCTTAAAGCTAGAGTCCATGGCTGCTTAAGTCTTACATAAAACAGCATGGTGTTTACATATTGAAGAGTCAGTGTGCCTCTATTTTAAGCTTAAAAGCCATCTTATAGTAAAGACAAACTAGGTTTATTCCCTTTATGATTAAACCTGTTTCACAAGGATTGGGCTATACCCCACTTGTAACCTTAACTACAAATGATTCTGTAATGATTGTTCCAGGAATGGCAATCATGTCTTTGTTTCAAAAAGTTATTCATAACTACTTTGCAACCCTACCTTCATTTCAAAAGGTTATATAGCCACCTATGACTACCTTGTAATGACTGCCTGTTGTTATGACTACCTTTTTATGCCCACCTTGCAACCATGTCTTTGTTTCAGGAGGTCATTAGGACTAACTGGTTATGCTTATATTCTGCTTATGTAACCCCTCATGTCTTGCCCACCAAGTCCCCCATTTGGAAACCCCCTATCCCTGAGCTAGAAGAGCCTTGTTTTCACATCCAATGCTGACCTCTAGAACCTCACCTTAGGGGGATGTACACGAATGAAAAAGCTTGCTTTAATTGCCTGCTTTTAATTATTTTGACCATGATGATTTGGGTCAATGGTCTTTCTCCTCCCATCTTTGGGATTAACAGTATAACCTGCCCACATCCTTCCAGATGCTACTTGCCCATAAAACTGAGCTTAAACTCACATTAATCTTAAGTTGTGCTTTTTTTTGAGTTATGACAGTTTTGCACAAGCAACTTCAGAGCCATATTAAGTATTCATCAGCTAAGAAATATTTCTGTCTCTTCTTGCCTCTCACCTGTACATATTCCATAGTATACCACAATGGAGACAAAATGTGACTTGATGAATAGAACAGAATTTAAACTTAGCTTTAAACTCAGATGGAATTCTAGTTGTTCAATGAATTGAATTGTTTTTGTTCCTTCTGTGGTAAATTTAATCATTGTGAATTGATGAATAATACTAATCAATAAACTGCAGGGATTTTGCACAAAAATACTTAGCCTGTAAGATTACTGTATTATGAAAACAGATAATGTGAAGCAAAATTCAGTGTTTAAAAGTAGAGAGTTTTTATAGAAGTCTTCTAGTTTTCATGAAGGTAGTAATTAATTGTGTTTGTAATTTCTGTGTCCAATGAAGAAACTATTTATTTTGCTTTAATTAGGAAGCATGTAACCACTGGAGCTTGTATATTATCATCTCAAGTATGAAAACTTACTTGCCATTTTGACTCTGATACATAAAATGACCATTTAGTCTATATCTGTTTGCTTCTCTTATCTTACAAACTATCACCTCTGATAACAGGTCACATTTACTAAGCTGTTTATATGCCTGATGCAGTTTCATGTTTTAGCTACAGTCTCATAATTTCTGCAGCATTTTATGATGAAGCCCTATTATGACTCCCACATTCTTTCATTGCTATTTTAATAAATGGGGACAGAAAACATGGAGACAATATGTGGCTAGCCTCAGTTCCCCAAGGTTGCTAAGATTCCCACCTGTAGCTGGGGTTCTGGTTCAATGCCAGAGTCTAAACAGAGAGTGAGGTGAAGACTAAAGTGCTGCTCTTAGAGCCCATGGTGCTTTCTCAAGTGTTCGTCAAAATTGGAAAGCACTTGCTTTGAAATCAAGAATACATTATGCAGTATCACCACCAGGTCTGAGAGAATGTATCATGATTTCATAATGGTCTACTGGTCCATAATTGGATTTATATTGACTTAGGTTGAATTTTGTTACAAAATGTAATAATAGACATGACAGGACTAGGTTTCTTCCTTTCCTCCCTGTGACTTTTAATATTTTCAAATCCTCTTGTATTGTAGTCATGAACCTATTATGATAAAAACTGTTGGGACGATTTTCTCTTGTCTTTTTAACAGGTATTCTAACTAATAATGAACACTGAAACTAGGGAGCATTACCCCCTATTCTCATACAGCTCTGAGCCAGACAGGCCTGTTTGTATAGTACTGGTCTGCATGAGTAAGTGTCTCTAGAAGTAGGTCTGGTTGGAAGCAGCAGGAAGCCTTCCCAAGTGTCTCAGTAGTCCTCTACAGCTTTTCATTCTTTCTCCCTCTGAAGGCTAGAGTGAATAAAGGGAACCAAATGAGGACAGATCTGTGTGTCAAAAAGGTTACCACTAGGCCAAAGGATCATGCTGTTAACTCAGTGTTTATAGATGACCTGTCATTATCCTATACTTGCTATAGGAAAGTCAGTCGATTGGTTTTCCCCCATTTTACAGGTTTCTGCTAGAAGAGGGTGTGTGTCTGTGTGGTGTGTGTGTGTGTGCATGCATGCCTGTGTGAAACTACTACAGTTGTAGCTGATCAACATGTTTTGTAGGATCAAGATCTTCAGTAATAACTAATACCACTCTCTTATAGGAGACTTGGGAGAAACTTGCTGTGACTTTATAAATGATATACCCTCATTCTAGATAGCTTGTTTTCAGTGGCTATATAAACATATGAAGTGCAGAGAAAGCAGTTGTGACAGGATAGTAGCAAATCAGGAACCTTGAGTACTGCTCTGTGTCACTGTACTTGCTTGTTGTTCTTTATACTGATAATTTCTCTATGTACAAGAAATAATCATAGATGACATTGATGGGAATATATGAAATACATTTGACAGAATAAAAAATTCATTGGTAGAGAGTTCAGATGTCTTCTTAGTCTCTGATGTATGCTGTATATTGCCTACCTTTGGCTCATATAAAGTTTGTATTCAAATACTAAACTTAGTCTTAATACCTAATAGAATGTTTGAACATTTAATTATGAAGGTAAGTTCTACTCCCATGACTTATTCTTTGATCTGCACTTTTGCTTGGGATAGAAATAAATGAATTTTTTAAAAAGTCACTTTTGGAAGAAATGCAAAACCACATCGACATAGTTGCTATTTCTAAGCCACAGAGACTGCTCACCACTGTGAACTCCTGCTAGATACTGCTAATGTCATTTCCTTGTAAAACCCCTTGGTTGTTCGTATTTGTCTTCTAATGATGCTACGTTTATTTCTTTCCCAGATCTTCCTCAGAACTGTGATCCTAACATTCCCTTAGTTGCTCAGGAATTAATGAAAAAGATGATTCGTCAGTTTGCCATTGAGTACATTTCAAAAAGTGGTAAAATTCAAGAAACTAGAAATGGTTCGATTGGAGCAAGTCTCGTATATAAAAGTATCCAAATGAACCAACAGAGAACTGCCTTCAGGATGAGCAGGAAGGCCCCTTAGACCTCACTGTGACTCGAATGCAAGAGCAAACTGCTCAGCAAGGTAAGTTGTTTGTTTAGCACGTGATACATACATTTTTATTTTAAAATACTTAAAATGGATATGTTTTATGCTCATAGGGGAAATTATCTCTCTTTCCTTGATTTATATGGCATAGACAAGGGAGATAAGAACGTAAAGCTCTGTGGTGCAGTTTTCAAAGATTTATCTTTAGTTTATAATTATGTGTGTATGGTGCCAGTGCACATGAGTGCAGGTGCCCAGGGAGTCCAGAAGAGGAAATCAAATATCTAAAGCTGGTTTTCCATGCAGTTGTGAGCCTGTTAATGTGGGTTCTGGGATGGAAACCCTGGTGTTCTAGAAGAACAATACATGCTCTTAACCACTGAGCCCTCTTTCCAGGCCCCTATACTATATTTTTAATAGTTTATAAAAGAAAATTTGATGTCTTTCTTGTTTTTTTCAAAATAGTATGAATTTCAATGAGCAACTTAAAAATAAAGGACATGTATAAAGAGATACTATGAGAAAGAATTATTTTCTAGTAGACAGCCAAAAACATTAATTTAGTATTTGCTCTTTAGTTTCTGCACTGAGATGAGAAATAAGTAGATGGTTTACCATTCAGTGGGTTTTTGTTGTTGTTGCTTATTTTTTAGATTTGTTTTATTTTATGTATATGAATGTTTTTTTTCATGTATGTTCGTGTATCACATGCATGCTTTGTGACTTCAGAGGTCAGAAGAGGGTGTTGGACCCTCTGGCACTAGAGTTACAGATGGTTGTGAGCTATCATGTGGGCACTGAGACTCAAACCCAGGTCCTCTCTAGAGCATCAATTGCTCTTAACTGTTAGGCCTTCTCTCCAGTGTCCCCTCCATCCAGTTTTTTATAATGTAACTGAGAAAGGGGAAAGTTATACCTGTGATAAATCTCTACACTCCTATAATTAAACATACAGAGATACATTTTTCAGAAAGTATTTATACCATGTCGAATCTATGTAAAGTAGAATTTATTTGTGCTATATCTGTGACTTCACAGAAGAAAGACAAAAAGAGCCTTTTAAGAATGTGGGGAGAAGGCCGGGTGGTGGCGCTTGCCTTTAATCCCAGCACTCGGGAGGCAGAGCCAGGCATATCTCTGTGAGTTTGAGGCCAGCCTGGTCTACAGAGCGATACCAGGACAGGCACCAGAACTATACAGAGAAACCCTGTCTCAAAAAATTTTTTTAAAAAAGACTCTGGGGAGGAAGCCAATAAATGGCTTATCTGGAGATAAGAGAAGGAATAGCTTTTATCAGCATGGTTTAGGGATTATGTTACTTCTTAAAGATGTGGGGGAAAACAAAAGGTATCGTTGAAAAGATCCTAGAATGTATTGGCATTAGGACTCTAACATTAGGACATCATCATCATGGGTCAGTGTTTAGAGGAGACATCTCTACAGTATGTGAGACCCATCAATATTGAAACATGGATGTAATCCCCCATATTTGGTCCCTAATTTTAGACCATGTTAGTTATGTTTCTAAGAAATATTAAATTATTAGTCTATAAGAAAGGTAAAATATAATACAATTTAAGACTTAAGAAAAATATATATCTGTACTTTGACCTTTGGACATTATAAAGCACAGGGTTTTTTAATTTTTATTTGCTGTTTATATTTTATATATCCTGTACTTTTACAGAAGCAATTTAGCATTCTACAGACTAGAACATGAGCCTTGGTATGTGACAGACTTATAGTTGCAAATAGGAAAGGATGGCAAAAGAAAGGAAACTTGAAACTCACAAACATTAAGTTCACAATGCTAAATAAATTTCATCAGATTGAATATAGTAAGATATTGCACACATCCATAATCTCAGCACGTAGAAGGTAGAGACAAGAAGAACAGAAGTTCAGGCCCAGCCTGGACTACTTGAGACATGTTTGAAAGAAAGAAAAAGGTAAAATAATAATAATAAATAAACAACAAACAATGAAACTGATAAACTGTGTAAGACCTTACAGAGAACATCATATAACTTTCTGAAGGTCATAAATTAAGATCTCCAAAGCAAGTGCTTCTATTTCAGCTAATTAGGAATGCTTTTGCAGATATAATATCCAGTCAAAAGTTTACCAGTTTGTTGATTTTACTAAAGTGAAATGACTTCCTGATCCTAAAATTGACAAGCAAGTCTTAAGGAGCCAAAGATAACAAAATCACACCTTTAATCCTAACACTTGGGAAGCAGAGTCAGGTGGATCTCTGTGAGTTCTCATCCAGCCTGACAGCCAAGGCTACACAGAGAAACCCTGTCTTGAAAAACAAACAAACAGAAAAAAAAGGAATATCCAAGGTAATGAGAAGCTTCCTTTAAGACCCATGAAGGATTTATAGTGCAGTAATTAAGACTGGATCCTTTTGGTCAGAATATAAATCAGTAAAAGCTCAGAAATTTCCCAGGATTACTGAAATCTTAGTAAAATACAGATGTCAGTATAAATCACTGGGGAAGATGTCCTATTCTGTACATGTTCCAAGGCAACTGCTTACGCACCTGGAAGGAGGTTGGCAATCACTACCTTACACTAGTCATAAAAATGTTAAGGGGTAAATGTGAAAAGAACACTATACAGAATAGAATTTTAACTCATGAAGTTTCTAGAATATGACTGCTTGAATTAGAGAATGCAGTTTTCACTACTTACAGCCTTGTGAGGACATTGATCATTTTGTTCTGTAACTAGAAAATTAGTATTAATAAAAGTCATGCTGTTGTGTGAACTTTAATGTGTTAAATTGCACCCTTAGTATAGCACTGTCCTAGCTGCTTTCTGTTGCTGTGATAGGCATCATGACCAAAAGCAACTTGGGGCAGGAAGCAGGTATTTGACTTACGCATCCTGATCATTGAGGGAAATCAGGACAGGAAATGAAGCAGGAGCAGAGGCAAGGTACTATGGTTGCTTGTTTTCCATGGCATGCTCAGTTTGCTTCTTAAACAATCCAGGACCACTTACCCAGGGGTGGTACTGCCCATAGTAGTCTGCGCCCTCCCACATCAATCATTAATCAAGAAAATTCCCCCACAGGCCAATCTGATGGAGGCAGTTCCTCACTTAAGGTCCCCTCTTTCTGAGGTAATACCAATTTGTGTCAAGTTAACAACCAGGATTCACTGTCACAAGCCCACCCTTGTCATTTTGGCACGCAGTTACATCTCCTTTTGTTGTGTTTAGTTTCCAAATACAAACACCAACCAGGACAGAATTGTGTCTAATACGATACAACTGTTCCATGTACAACCACAAATGCATTCTATATTTTAGAGTAGGTGGCAAAGTACTTTGAAGAACACTTAGTCTTTTAGTTTCTCATAATTTAAATATAATAATATACATTTACAACAACTGCTGATTTTAACCTCAATCAATATTACAGTCTGTGATTAAATAGAGAAACGAAAACAGATACTGGTTTAATATATGTGTATTTGTGCACAAACATGTTAACAAAGTAAGACAGAAATAATCATGTGAGCTGTTTCTGCAGTGGGTTGTGTGGCCTCATCTGGTTTTTTTTTTTTTTTTTTTTTTTTTTGGTTTTTCGAGACAGGGTTTCTCTGTGTAGCTTTGCGCCTTTCCTGGAACTCACTTGGTAGCCCAGGCTGGCCTCGAACTCACAGAGATCCGCCTGGCTCTGCCTCCCGAGTGCTGGGATTAAAGGCGTGCGCCACCACCGCCCGGCTCATCTGGTATTTATAACTACCTTCCTCTCCTACCCATTCTGTATTTCCTCCACCCTCAGCAAGCCCTTCACCAGGTCTTGTTCTTTCATTGGAGCAGTGACCCATACTTTGATTCCTGAAGAGTTTGCCCTTTGTAATCCTACCTAGATTGGGTTGTTGTAGTTTCCATTGACTAGTTATAGGACATGGTAGCACTAAGAGATACCCTAAAGGATTTCCTATACTGCAGATGTGATCTTCCCTACATGTATATCTATTACTATATGTGTGCATTGCCTGCAGAAGCCAGAAGTGGACATCAGAGTCTCTGGAACTTGAGCTACTGATGTTTTTCAGCCACTGTGTGGGTGTTGGGAACTGAATCCAGGTCTTCTAGAACAACAGCCAATGCTCTTAACCACTAGGCCATCTCTCTAGTCCCTGTTGTTCCTTTCTGATCAGTCTGTTGAATTAAGGGCATCAGAGCCCAAAATAGCCAGTTGGCAGTCTTAGCTTCCAGTTCAGTGGAATGCTTATTGTGTCTCCTAATAGAAGTACTCCCTTCTCTGGAACCAAAACTTCTAGGCCAGTTAAAGTATAAGGTAACAGGAACAGGAAGCAACAATTTTCCTAGTCCATCACTAGGGGCAATAGTGAGTGGAAGCTCCTAGTTTCTACCCCTTGATTCTTGTACCCATTAATCCTAGCTATAGGAGAAACAGTACCGTATATTGGACACTGATTCAAAGCATGTACTGCCTTCTAGATAACATTCCCCAGCGCTCCAGGCTATTGCCACCTATTTAGTGCTGTAACTGTTTAAAAGGCCATTTTACTGTTTCATCAAGCTAACTGCTTTAAGATTGTGGGGGACATGGTATGACCATTGGAGTTTATGATATTGGGTATATTGTCACATTTTTCTGGCTGTGAATGAGTTCCTTTGTCAAAAGTGATGCTGTGTGGAATACTGTGCTCAAGATAGTAGTTTGGACAGAAGCATTACATACAGAAAAGGAAAATCCATAACCAGAATAAATATCTACTCCTGTAAGGACAAAGCATTACCCTCTCCATGAAGAAGTGGTCTGATGTAGTTAACCTATCACCACATCACTGACTGGTAACCCCAAGAAATGACACCATATTAGGGGTTCAGTGTTGGTCTCTGCTGCTTGAAGATTTGGCACTCACCAACAGTTGTAGTCAGGTCAGCCTTGTTGAATGGAAGTCCGTGTTGTTGAGGATGTATAACCTCCATCTCCCAGCATAGCAACTTTTTTCATGGGCCCATTGTGCAGGAACAACAGGGATAACCAG